GAAGATATATGCAAGACGCCTTGCTTCGGCCGGTGTCGAGCTGCCTTGCCTTAGGATGCGTTTATACATTGCGTCAGCGTCTCGAGCGTCAGCGTTTTGAGCGACTGGGAAAGTGTAGGTATCGACCTAGCGTTTTGAGCGTCCGCCAGCATTTCCAGCGAGTGCCTGCGAAAAATTCAAAATTGTCCGCGAAACGCTCTGAAAGATTAGAGCTGTCGCAAAGTATGAACGTAGGGGTTCTCGTCCAAGCTGAAATGGAGCGTCATGTCCTTAGCCTAGCATTCTTAAAAGTAATGGGTTTTGTCTCTCATTGTCAAGCAGATATTTCGGCGCTGTGTGCCTCGGAAGGGACCACTTTTAAGTGGGGTTTACCCAGAACATGTTCTAGCGCGACAAGCGACGCCATTGTTGTCTAGGAGAGGGGATGACATGTTCCGACTTTGTTCAATCGACCGTAGAGCATGTCATGTATAGAAGACGAGGGGGTTAGCCTCAGTGAGTAGTGGTCCCTCCCTAAGCGCATGGCCCCAATATTTCTTTTTGCAGAGTTCTTCACTATCTAGCGACGTCTCCGATACCGAGGTAATCCTTTTTTTTTTTTGCTTGATATGACGACTGCCTTCAAAATTAAAAGTGTTTCAGTTTTATGGTGGGCTCCTCATCACTTGTTGTTTTACGGGAAGGTTGTCTTCTGGCAACGGGTGAAAATATGCGGGATGACATGTGAGTCGATTGCTTTGTTCGTTTTTTTAACTGCTACCTGGTAAACACTTTGGCATGTCCCGCGTTCGAAAGTGGGGAGTTTTGCGGCTCAATTACTAATTGCAAATGAAAAGTAAATTAATCTGAAGAAAGTAATGAAACAAAAGCAGAACAGAGGAAACCCTCTCGAGATGCTCCCCGTAAAACCCTATGCTGGACCGTGTGTGCACATGCATAAGATGAAGTGAGTGCGTGGTCGGATGAGCTCTCACTTGTTGATGCCGGCTCTATCTCCTTGTCACCTCGCACCCACCATTCGAAATAGAAACCTAGAACATCGCACCGTCAGCAGCGTTCAAATGGAAGTTGGGCGTTGTCGTGGCCTGTGGGCGGGATCGTGGCCTCATCGCAAGCTGGTCGCACATTCCTCACGTATTTTTGGGCTGTGGAAGTAAAACATACTCCTTGTCTGCAGGTTGGACTACCATGTCCAACCAAAAGTGGCGCTTGAACATCGAATGAACGCAGGGCGTGAACACTGAATGAACGCGGGTTTGCGCGGAGTAAATGGTGCTATTGTATGATTCGGCTGGTACAGGGTTCTTGTCGCTGTGTCATGACCTACTGATGTAAGAGCCTCATTCGTGGGTGTCAAGTAGAGGTTAGTTGTTTTTCAGGCCTGAAAATACCTCGATTCTGTTTATCTTTGATCCAAAGGATCCAGAAGGAGTTATGTGGCAATACAAACTTGATACCGGTTAGTTTTTTTTTGTCTTCATTTGATTTCCTGAATGGTGAATAGCTACGTCGTGGTGAACCAATTCTGGTTCTATTCAGGGTATTGGACGTTGGTGGCCGACAGTTGGAATGTCGCCGCCACCGTCAAACAAGAATTTTGGTGGCATTGCAGTCATGCGTCTTGATCGTGTTATTCGATTGAATATCTCTAGGAATGCCTCAAAAAGGTAGCAAGGTCAGTGAGGTTAATGCTTCATTTGTACGATTTGTATTTCCTGCCATATCTTTCAAAGAGAATTTTTCCTTCTTTTTTTCGGTTCATTTCTAATTTGTTCCACACTGCACCATCATTTCTTTTAGTTTTCGTTCCTCTTGAGAACTTGTTTGCTTCTTTTCTGCGCGCCCGGGTATTGCGAATCTAAGACGTTGAGTGCAAAGAGATAATCCCATTGATGACGGCATCGAGTGCCATCTTCAGTGGAATCTCAAGGACATGGAATTCCGGGAATGGTAGGGGACGAACCGAGGGCAAGTCCGTTGTCAAGAAGTCCTGTGTAAGGTTCTAGTTTGGCCTTTTATTTGGGCCGGCTCTAGATAATTGTAAATTTACCGAAATGTGGTCCATAGTATTTGCCACGCACCGCTATGCTTCCCTCTGTCCTCCAACGCTTGATGTGATTTTTGCCGGTAATGAGTTCCTAATTAGTGGAGAATATCAAAGGGGAATCGTAGTGCGAGAGTCTATAACCGAAACCTGGACCGAATCGCGGAAGCCTACAGTTTCTATAGGGCTGTTTGATATGCCAACTGAAAGAAAGTATAGGGCTCTGAGGACGCACTTAAAAAACTGGAGATGATGACCGGGGACAAGTCGGAATCATCAATCCCCTTGACGGCTGTCTTGTTTTTGGCTCGTATATAGCCCCCCCCCTCCGCCCCACATCCTCCCCATTGAATGATTGGTGCGAATCACCTCTGTGGGCAAAGACGATAAGTGATGTGTCAGGCAGGTGTTACAAGTTGGAACCTGTTCTCCAGTGGTTATTCTGCATAAGAATCTGATGTTTGGCAGTGGGGTAAGTGCAGACCCAATCGTGATACTGAAGGTCCGTTCGCGCTGGCTTGGGCATGGCCTGTGTCGAAGACACCTTCAACTTACGTGAATGCTTTGCTTCAAAGAATCTGTAGGTAAGGCAGCGCTGAATTCTGAATTGCCGCGCCAATCGCCGCGCACGTCGTCGACTAATTCGCGATGAATTCGCCCATCTCGCACGACAGTGTTCTAGGGCGTTGAGGTGCACACAGGAGGATAGATCATTGAGCCCTAATGACTTTCTACTTGGTGTGTTCCATGCGCTTCTTTTGCACTCCGATGCGCTGAAGTGTTTGGTCCATGCAAACATTATAAACCAGTCACCATTGAAGGCGTTTATATCCTACCAAATAGCCCTGTACTAATCAGCTGACAAGTAGGAATGGCGTAACCGGGGCCTCTTTCCTTGGAGATTCACAAACCGTCGTTATCTCCATTATGATGAATCGAATAAGAAGTTTACAGATTTCCATGTCGGGCAATATCAGTACTTTCTTTTTCCCTTTAGAGCCATACTAAAGTTACTTCTCTCTTTTTTGAAGTATATTTCGTGATTACTCATAGGACTGTGCCTGAACGTTGTGTGAGGAAAGATAATGTGTGCCACAACCGTGTACCAGTTTTGCGACAGAAAGTTGTAAGGTTATGGCGTTGAATCATAAGGGTGCTCAAGTGGTTCCCTCTGGACGTGAGTGACTCAGCCCCAGGTCCGTCATTTCGCTACTTTTTATGTGTCCTCCAAACTCGTTTCTGGTCTCTCGCTTGAGTTCTCAGCGAGTTTTCAACTCTTTTTCAAAGCAAGGGGCCCTTTTAAGGGCGTTTGCGACGATTTTATCCGCTTTTTCTTCACTGCTAAATCAAGTAGCACATACAGTTCTGGTTTTCAACATCGCTACCCATGAAATTTCGGCGGCTGTTCGCGAACTTGCCTCCTTACACCCTGTCAAGAAAGAACTATCGACTTTTGACTGTTATCAGAATTCAAGTTCTCTTGCCATTCTTTCATTTTGTTTTGGCTTAGGCAAACTTACAAACAGGTAAACAAAAATTGCAAGCAAGAGTGACTTCAAGAATGTTTTGAATTGCATGTAAATGATGTCGTGGGAATTTCTGCGGTTGACCCTGACGTTAAGAACCTGTTTTTTTCTCATTGAGCTAGATTCCTCAGTGTTTTGCCATGTTAATCTCGGTGAAAACTAATCGCCCATCTATTCAGAAATGAATTATCTCAGCGTTGTACAGTACAAATTTACTTTGTAGTGTAAAATACGACAACTCAAATAGTCTTATTGAATGTGAGCCATAATTGTTATTGATTCAGTATTACGGTCTTAGTCATAGGCAATGCGTGGCTCATCGGTTGTTTGTTGTCTGTTCACTTATTTCTCCTTTTCAATGTTATCGTGAGATGGCGAACTCTCTTTCTGTCACTTAAAACTATTTTTGTAGGATTCGAGATGTAACATCACGTATGATGGCGTGCAGAAACGCAGTACGGGCTTTATCAAGTGAGCGAGTACTTTGACCTTTGTTTTCCACTGTTATTGTTAGTATTTTTCGCAAAAATCATAAGAATCACACAGTG